TAATAGAAATCAGCACAGAGCAATAAAACTGAAAAACACTCTTTATATTATACTATGTGGTTGATGCAGATAGTTTAAATAGTTTTTTAAAAACATGGAAGCGATATAAATCCTTCCATAAACTTCTTACGATAATACGCAACACAACACTGACATGACACAAATATAATTGCTGTGAACTCAGTCTTTTGGTAATTGTTTTTTGAGCACCTACCATGTGCCAAGCACTGAGAACAGAGCTATGAATAAGAGAGACAACAATTCCCGCCATCACCAAGGTAAGTCTAACAGTTGCTCACTTTTTGTCAAGAGCACAGTTGCCTGTTTTATTTCACTGTTAGAGTCAAAAGTCAAGGATGGTGAGGTAGAAGCAGATGAAAGTCATAGCAGTGGGAGGAATAAAAGCAGTGGGAGCCCTGGCCAGTTTTGCTCAGTGGTTAGAGCGTCGGCCTGTGGACTGACAGGTCCCAGGTTCGATTCCAGTCAGGGGCACGTACTTCGGTTGCAGCTCGATCTCCGGCCCCGGTTGGGGCGTGTGTGGGAGGCAGCCAGTCTTATGTGTCTCTCTCACATCGATATTTCTCTCTATTGCTCTCCCTTCCGCTCTCTCCGAAAAGCAATGATTTAAAAAAAAAAAAAAAGAGCGGGAGAAAAAAGGAACAGTTACAAAAGCTGCCTTTGGCCAGTTTTGTACACAGGTTTAATAAAGCACCTATGGAGACCACGGGGCAACTGGACGCTGTGCCAACAGCCAAGATGGGGGACATGGGAGGTGGCTATGTGGAAATGCTAACAAAATAAAAGGCAGCGTGAAATAGGAGCACCAGAGAAGGTGAACTTTGGGCCTGGGTCCTGATCTGGCTTTTGCCAGAGAGAGAAGGTTCATTCCAGGATGAAGAAAGAACATATGCTAAGGTGCTAAGACCGGAGGTGCGTGGCATATGCAGTGAGTAATAAGCTGGATTGTCAGGTGCTTGGGATGGGAATGGTCATGTCAGGTAAGCCTGAAAGGCTGGGTCCAGATCACAGTAGAAATGCCAGGGTGTCTGTTTGGTCTTTGTTCTTTAGATCTCAGAGTCATGTAAATACACTGAGGGTGCCTATTATGAGATTAGAAGAATATTGGTGACAACTGCAACATAACTAACAGCAAACAGGTGTCAAATGTCTAGGCCTCTACTAAAGTTCTCCAGTCTTTCCCTGATCCTCTCTATCAGCCCAACCTGCCAAGTACCTGCTGTGCACGGAGGAATGACTGAGATCACATGCAGGGAAATAGGACTGGAGCTGGCGATTGATTAGATGTTGGACTTCAAGACCAAGGCCGACCCTGAGAGTTAGCGCCTCCTTAAATTTTGCCCCCGAGGCAGCTCGCGTGCCTCACCCTAGCCCAGCTCTCATACTAGCTGGTCAGGAGAATGCCCAGAAGAGCTGGTTTGGGGAAGGAATATAATAAGTTTAGTTTGGTGCCTACTATTTTTTACGGTTAGTAGATTCAGAAGAGGATTTTTTTTTTTTTATGTGTGTTTATCAGTCTCCAACCTTTAAGATAAAATTTATTCTAGATGGCTTTATTCTGTAGAATCAGCCTTCCTGAATATCTGCATGTGCAGCATCTCCCTCTCGCCCGTGGGCCCAGAATTCTTTGCAGGAGCAGCTGCTCAGAAGGAGGGTCTAATGAGGAATTCCCCTTGCTGACAGTGGTGAAGGAAGCTTCCTGAGGAAGTCCAGCCTTACAAAATCATAGGAACAGGCATAATTTTACCAAATGGAATATGGGGGACATAATATTCTGCTTCCACAGGAGGCATCAGTTGAGGTGACATTCAAGATGATAAATACAACGTGAGGACCCAGGTAAGAAGGGGACCGAGAACAGAACCCCCAGGGAGCCAGAGTGAGGGAGGTTATTCTGAGAGCTGTGAGCAGCAGGGCATTCTTACAGCTTATGGGTGGGTTGAGCAAGGAGGCCTTGGCAGATGAGAAAGCTGTGGTATGTTTTATGGATCATCTCAGGAATAAAGGAAGTGGGGTAGTTATTACACCCTCTGCTCTTTCCCCACCTGTATTACTTCGCTAGTGTTGCCCTAACAAAGTGCCAAAACCTGGGTGACTGAAAATAACCAAAATTCCTTCTCTCACAGCTCTGGAGGCTAGAAGTCTGAAGCCAAGGTGTCGGCAGGGCCATGCTCTCTCTGAGAGCTCCAGGGGAGACTCCCTCCTTGCCTTGTCCAGCTTTTGGTGGCTGCCAGCAACCCATGGTGCACCACTCCAGGCCCATGGCCGCCTCCTCCCTGTGCGTCTTCACACGGTTCTCCCTCTGTGTCCAGTTCCCCACTTTATAAGGACACCAGTCATATCGGATAAGGGCCCACTCTAATGAGCTTCTTTAACTTGATTGCCTTTGTAAAAGACCCTATTTCCAAGTAAGGTCACATTCTGAGATACTGGGGTTTGGGACTTCCACATATCTTTTTAGGGGACACAATTCAACCCATAACGCCATCCCAGGCCTCACACTGGCCCTTACGCCACTGTGAAGACTCTTCCTCCCATTCGGAGCCAAACCTCTTTCTCCACTTGTTTCCCACTGTCAGGAATTACTGCTGAGGAGTAGTGGGACAGCCTCTCCCTTAACCTGAATGCCCTTGAGAGTGGCCACATGCTGGGCCTTGCTTTACTACTGCAGAGTTCCAGCAATTGCCACATTTTCTTTGAGCAGGGCACCCCCGAGCACCCAAACTCCAGCACTCTCTTCTGAGTGTGGAGCAGCAGGTGGGAGACGTGAAAGAGCCGCCACGAGCGTCTTGGCGTGAGCCAGCGTGGCAGAGGTTTAACAGGGAATAGCCAAGCTTTGCCTAGTCAGACAGAAGGCTCATTTGCTTTCAGACTCCAACCTGCTCTTCTAGTCAGTGCTTTGGACAAACATCACCCTCAGGCTCCTCAATATGACTGTTACTTTTTAATTTTCCTTCAGTTCAATACATGCAATGTTACAGAATTAATTTGGCTAGCCACAGTTTCTTCAATGAATAAATCGAATTCTTTTTATCCTGTGTCACAGCCTTTTAAAATAATTCTGCTGGAATTACCTCCCTCTGGCCACTCCCTACTATGCTAGCAGGAATGTTTCAAATAGAAATGAAAGGACACTGAACAGCAATGCGAGAGTTGTAAATATATATGCACCAAACATCAGAACACCTAAGTATGTAAATAAATATTGCCAGATCTGAAAGGAGAAACAGACAACAATACAATAACAGTGAGAGACTTCAGCATCCCACATTCAGTAATGTATAGGACATCTGGACAGAAGGATCAGTAAAGAAAGAATGGCCTTAGCTGGTCTGGCTCAGTGGTTAGAGTGTCAGCCTGTGGACTGAAGGGACCCAGGTTCGATTCCCGCCAAGGGCGTGTACCTCGGATGCAGGCTCGATCCCGGCCCTGGTTGGGGCACATGCGGGAGGCAACCAATTGCTGTCTCTCTCTCACATCGATGTTTCTCTTTCCTTGCACTCTCTCTGAAAAGCAATGGAAAAAAAAAGAAATCCTCAGGTGAGGATTAAAAAAAAAAAAGGCATTGGACTTGAGTGAACCGATAGACCAAATGTACCTGAAAGACAAATACAGAACTTTTCACCCAGCAGAAGAATACACATGCTTCTCATGTGTACACACGGAACAGTCTCCATGATAGATCACCTGTTAGGTCTCAAGACAAGTCTTAACAAGTTTAAGAATATAGAAATCATACCACATATCTTTTTGAGCACAATGGAATAAAACAAGAAATGAGTAAAAGCAAGAAAATAGGGAAATTCACAAATACATAGAAAATAAATAATACTCTTGAACAATCACTGGGTCATAGAGGAAATCAAGGGGGAATTTAAAATATACCTCAAGATTAATGAAAACAAAGCCACAAATTACCAAAACTTAGAGGAGGCAGCAAAAGTACTAAAGGAAGGTTACAGGGATAAATGCTTACATTAAAAAAGGGCAAATATCTCAGGCAGCCTAACTATACACATAAAACGTTTTGTTTAAAAAAAAAACAACAAACTGGCAAACTCTTAGCTAGACAGAGAGGAAGGGAGAAGGCAAAGATTTTTAAATCAGATGGAGAGCTTAATACCCCAGTGATCTTTACTGGGTCATCTTCAGATGAATCATCATATCTAAGACATTGTAAAAATAAGAATTAAATGAATTAAAAATAAGAAAATTAAGAATATTGCTACTTAAGATCATGAGTATTTGAAACGTCTATAAAAATACTAAGTGAGCAGTAACAATCATCACTGCTACCTTTCTAAATAAAGATGCCACCAGAAACATCAGTGACAAAAATAATAATAATAAAATAAGAAAGACATTTATGCTAAATGTGGGTTGTTTTTTTCAGGTCCAATTTAATTTCTGATTACTCTGCAGATATTTCCTTGAAAAAAATCACAATGCCTGCAACTGATAAGGATATTCTATTCTACCATAATGTTACCTTAGGCAGAAATAAACTGATTACCAAGCAGCTGCCAACAAGGAGCAGCTTGATCTGTTCAACTTCTCACAGCAGCACCGCCTGCAGCAGTAAAGCCCAAACTCTTGAGTTCAGAATCCAAGGCCCGACAGTAAGTTCACAGCCCAGGCTGGGCTCCTGCTTTCTCTCTCCCTGCGCCCCGCACGCTGCAGCCACAGCTCCCGGCTCGCTGGCCTGCCGGGGCCGGAGCGCCCCTCACCCCCGCCGCGCCCCCTGCCCTGGTCGCCTGGCTGCAGCGCAGCCCTGGCAGAGCTGACTGTGCCCCAGGCCAGGGTGGGAGAAGCTGTTCTGCCGTTGTCCAGTCCCAAGGGCTGGGCCAGGGGTGATCTCCGAGGTCTCCCACCTCGGTATGATTTCTGAAAAGTGGGGTAACCATAATCATCACCCCGAAAACGTATGGCAAAGACTAAAGTCGCGGGAAGCAGCTACAGACTGGGCATTTTGTGAAACCAAAATGGTGTGTGACCTGCAGGTGTGTGACTACCCGGGCCCATCAGAACCACTGGCGCGCGTCTGCGAAGGTGGGGGTGACAGAAGAGCCAGCTCCGCAGGCCCTTGTGGAAGCTGAGCTCCTGCGGCGCCTGCCGGGCGCCTTCGAGGGGACCCGATGGCTCAGGAGGAAAGCACCAGGGCCCCGAACTGCAGGAACGGAAATGCGAGGAGGAGGGGCAGCTGAAGCGGGGCTCGGCCTTCCCGGGTCGCGTAATCGCTGTGGGTCAAGTCAGAGGCCCCGAGGTCC